TTTAACTGTTCAGATGCGTGAAAACAAAGGGTCCGCCAGCTGCGATTGTTTATACTAGTGATGCTGGCGTCACCACTAGGAAGCCCGGCAGCCTCCGTGCGCAAGCTGTGTTATTTTTTTATAATATCCGGATTTAGTTATTATTATTTATACAAAAATTTGATATATGTTTTTTGATTTCGTTGTAAATACGAAGAAAATAATGCCGTAAATTGAATTGGGTCCTAAATTAACCAGGGTCTTAGATTTGAATCTTTGTTAGTAGAACCATGTTATCGGAGGCTTTACTGCACTAAAATTTTTATGTCTATTGCAAACTATAGCATGTTTATATTCAAATTACAAAAATTCCAGCAATGTTAATTATATTCTCTTTAGTCAATTCATTAACATTTTATAAGAGAAAAACATAAACTCCCCTCATATGACAGATAAATAAATACCACTAGGTAACCATTGTCTGGCTCCAGCCCAGCTGTCATAAATCAACTCCCCTCTGACTTCCCGTAAGAGTGACTGTTTTTTAGGCTGAAAGTTTTCATCTTATAAAATGTCACAGACTAAGGTTAGGAGAATATAAATTGCATTGCTGGAATCCTTGTAAGACAGTGAATAATTTGAATTCAGACATCATATATTTTGCACAAAAGATAAAGATTTTAGTCATACTGTATGTACTAATAACTACTAAAATTTTTATGTAATGCAAACTATAGCATGTTTATATTCAAACTAATCACTATCTTGTAAGAATTTCAGCAATGTTAATTATATTCTCCCATGTCAGTTCAGTGACATTTTATAAGAGAAAAACTTAGTCACTCTTAGGGGCAAATAAATAAATAAGCACTAGACTTTGGCATCAACTGTCAAACATATCACCTAACCCCCCCCCCCCCGATCTTCCCAACCTGGGTTTGGTGGGTTTAGGTTTAAAGTTTTTATCTTATATAATATCACAGACTAAAGTTAGGAGAATACAATTTGCATTGCTGGAATCCTTGCAGGACAGCGAATAATTTGAATATAAACGTCATATACTTTGCACAAGAGATGAAAATTAATCACCTGCATGCATCACATTACAGTAGTGATATATGAGTTCTAGTGTACAGTATATGTACGTATATATACAGTAAAAGTCCAAAAATCCGGATGCCAGAAATCCGGACCATCCGAGAATCCGTACTTTTCGAAACTCTTCTTTTTTTTTTCTTTTTTTTTTTTTTTAATTTACCGGGCTCTTGTGTGTATGTACGCATGCGTGAGCGCCACAGCTGCACAGTGACAACAAGCGACCACGCGGACGCCACTTTAAAACGAGCAATTAAACTGTGACAACATATGTAATTTTGAGTCCTACTCATTCCATTTACAGAGTGCTGTACAAGCCCATAATAATGGCTCCTAAAGTAGATAAACTTCGTTGTGTGAAGAGAAAGAAGAACACATTGAAATTGAATGACGAACTTGAAATAATTAAGAAACTAGAATGTGGTGTGAGCAATACTGTACTGTTCTAATGGAAACATACGTTTTCCATACAACATTGGAAAGTCTACAATTTATGATATAAAAAAGGCAAAGAATAAAATTCTAGAATTCACAGCTTTTTCTTTAATACTGCTCATTTTGATAAGTGAAGCATGCTATATTTGCGACTGAATAGACTATAAAAATGTACCTGTTCATCTCTTCTTTATTCCTCCTTAAACTTGAATTTTAAAAGTACTGCCTGAGAATCCGGAAAATCCAAAAATCCGGACCGACCCAATCCCCAAGCAGTCCGGATTTTTGGACTTCTACTGTATACAGTGATCCCTCGGTTAACGAGCGCCTCGGTTAACGAGATTTCGGTTAACGAATTACCTTCCATAAGATTCTTAACTTCGGTTAACGAGCATTCCCTCAATTAACGAATTCCTTACGAGCTGCCCTCATCATGTTTTCGCTTGCACACCAGTTGTCGTTTTAGTCCGCCAATACAGTAATCGGTTCTAGGGCTTAAATTCCTTACCATTTTAGTAAATATCAAGAAGGTTGTACTATTCAATCATTTTAAAAGTTTAATATTAAATTTTTTAGTAATTTTAACAATTATTGAACATAATTAAAGTACAGGAAACTAGTTTTATGCTCGCCAAGCAGCCTGTCAACACACCAAACAGGAGTCGGTCTCTATGTCTTTTCAGTGGAGGTAACATCTTGCTGCAGACTCCAACATAAATGCTTTTTTTCTGTGTTTTCAGTCAAATTATTGATCATTTTGAAATTTATTTTACATATTGATGATATATAGAGCAGTGCAGTGTTAATTTAAAGAAAATATTCTTTATTTACAGCAATTGAACTTAAAATATCACGTGTTGAAATTGTTTTTGAATCCAGCATGGGTCCCAAGAAATGTAGAAATGCGATTTCAATTCAGATGAAACAGGAAATAATTAGAAAACATGAAGAAGGCATTAGAACAAATGTGATAAGCATAGAATATGGCATGTCGACATCAACTGTGTCGATAATTCTTGCACAGAAAGACAAATTCAAGGAAGTGAAAGTAAGAGACAAGTCTACCAGAGTGTTCAAAGGTAGATCCCTAATAGCAGAAACAGTGAGGTTACTTCTCATCTGGATTAGGGAAAAACAGATGAAAGGTGATTCAGTTTCTACTGAATTTATTTGTGAAAGAGCCAGGGAAATATACGAACATTTAAATGTAAATCAACCTGGTTCTTCAGGCACAGACTTTGAAGATTTTAGGGCCAGCAAGGGCTGGTTAAAAAAATTTAAGAAAAGAAGTGACATATTTAGTGTTAGGCATGGTGAGGCTGCCAGTGCTGATAAGGAAGGGGCAGCAAAGTTTTTAGTGGAATTTAAAGAACTGGTGGATACAGAAAATTATCTTCCACAGCAAGTGTTCAATGTGGACGAAACTGGGCTGTTCTGGAAAAAGATGCCCAAAAGAACATTCATCACCAGAGATGAAGCCTCTATCTGGGCATAAACCCATGAAAGACCGTCTCACTCTATTGCTTGGTGCCAATGCTTCAGGGGATTTCCGACTGATGCCTATGCTTGTCTACCACTGTGAGAACCCCAGGGTGTTCAAGCAACAAATAGTGGTAAGAGGAGATCTTGGAGTTTATTGGAAATCCAACCGTAAAGCATGGGTAACAAGACAGCTCTTTAATGAATGGGCTGTTGAGGTGTTTTGCCCTTCTGTGAAGAGCTACCTAACCACCAATAAACTCCCTTTAAAGGCTCTTCTCCTCATGGGTAATGCCCCTGGTCATGACCCTCAACTTGCCAGAACTTTGGAGTCTCAATTTGACTTTGTCAAAGTGTTATTTTTGCCTCCCAGCACTACATCAATCATACAGCCAATGGACCAGAATGTGATCAGCAACTTTAAGAAGCTGTCCATGAAAATTTTCAGGAGGTGTTATCAGGCAACTTCCACTGATCCTGAACTAACACTGGCACAGTTCTGTAAGACACAGTTTAACATCCTGGAGGCTGTAAAATTGATTGTGTCCTCATGGCAAGAACTCTCCACTAGAACCCTCAATTCTTCATGAAAAGCACTGTGGCCATCAGTAGTCCATGATTTTTAGGGATTTCAGGATGAAACAGAGTTGCACCAGGAGATTGTGTCCATTGGTCAGTCATTTGGCCTTGAAATGGAGGAGGATGATGTAGAAGACCTTGTGATGTCTCATGAACAGGAACTTACTCCTGAAGACTTGCAGCAACTAGATGAGATGTTAAGAGGCTGACAGTGGTGAGGAGGAAACGGAAAGTGATGACCATATGTCAACTTCAGAGTTGAAAGATGTTGTTCACCACTGAAAGAAGTTCAGGAAACTGGCTTCAAGGCACCCAGATGTGGAAAAGTCTGAACTAGCTTTGTGTCATGTTGAGGACACAGTGGTCTCCTTCTTCAAACATCAGTTAATGATGAAGAGGAGAGATGCCCCACAAACAAAAATTGACAGTTTCTTTAGTAAAAGGCAGCGGGAACAAGATGCTAGCCCTCAGCCTTCCACTTCATGAAGGAGAGAGGATGTTCCTGGTGGAGAATCTGTCAATCCAGAGGTTCCTGACATTTTCATGGAAGGTGACTCGCCTTCCAAGAAGCAGTAAAATGCTTCTCCTCCACCTCCACTTCCTTCTCTTCTCCCTTCTCCTCCACCCTCATTCTAATTCCCATCATCATCCAGGAGCCTTCTACATACACACCTCAAAGTAAGTGTACCTTTCTACCTTTTTTGTTGAATTTAGGCAATTTTCGGTGAGCTGGAACCAATTACCCAAAAACCCATTGAAACAATTGTTTCGGTTTACGAGTTTTTCGGTTAACAAGCAACCTTCTGGAACGGATTGTGCTCGTTAACCGAGGGACCATTGTATAATGATTTAAGGTCGATTTAGGGGTGTTTCTGACTTAACACGAGGTCCCAGGAAAGGAACCCTCAGTCTACTGTATATTGGAAAATTCCTTTATTTTTGGTACAGTAGTAGTCATAAATTTGAAATATTTCCTGCACGATTTCCCTCGCGAAATAAAAAAAAATATCGCTATATATAAGAAAATGTCAATAATTTTGGTAGCTGCGATATAACAAGATCGTAATATCAAGTCTCTGTAAATCCTGACCCTCCTACTATATTTACTATTTTTTTATCTGGTTTTGCATCATAAAATTGAATAAGGTGGGAAGGGAATGGATCTGGGAAAAACTTACGGATTCAGGGGGGAACTGGGAAGAAGACATGGGAGTCTCATTCATATCCCCTGATTGTTTAGTGGCAACTTAATCACTAATCAATGGATTATTACTGGTGGGCATTATCTATGGGCACCAATAATATTGTTCCATAGACTTGTCTTTGTATTATTGTATGGTAATCATGTGGACCAGGTTTGGTCACCTGAGAGGATTTCCTGGTAATTTCTCCATTTTTCTGTGTTATTGTTATTTATTTATTTTTTTTTTCAGGCAGAAAATGTTTGGAAAACATGAAATCATCATCACAGTGTCAAGAAGATACGACTACTGTGGGTGCAACATTTGGAAAAGCTGAAGCTTCAGAGCCAAATGAAACTGAAACTGAATCTTCCTCATTTATATCAGCTGATGGTTTTAATCATACTACAGATGAATCATCACCTAATACATCTCAGACTTCCATTATTCCCAAAGTGCCTTCAGGAGAGTCTCGAGAATCTTCACCAACTAGAAAGAACGGCTCATCAAAAGGAATTGTTTATGAAGCTCCTTCATCTCTACTCTCTCATGTAAAGGAGGAGCCATTCCGATCAACTAGAATTGTACTTGATAATGATGCTCAAGTACAAAAAGTTACAAGTAAAACCTCTCAGTTATTAGAAGATACAGAACAACATTGCTACCCACACTTACCACGGTCTCTGCCAACAACTGAAACCTGTCAACCAATTACATCCCTATTACTACCTAACACAGTTACCACCACTGCTTCAGCTACAACTACTACATCTTCTCAGTCAAATTCCTCTGTATCTGCAACCATAACACAACCTCCTCAACAAAAGATCACCTTGTCACCATCTTTAGGCAATTTTCATTCACATAAAACAGTTGATTCTTCCATGAAAACAAAGGAACCTAAGCTCATCCAAGTCAAGTCCTCTGTGCCAGATACAGGAGAGTTGTCAGCAAACAGAGAAGAGCTGCTGAAGAAGTTAGCTTATGATGCTTGTGGTGATGAACAGCCAATTGTGGTGGATGAAGATGATGTTTCCATTGTTGATGAAAGAGGTACAGTATTTGGCAATTATTCATACTATATATTGGTGTTAACCCCAAAACTATAACCATATAGCTTTTAAGTTCAAAATAACCTAAAGGGGAGAGTACAGTACTGTACGGTACATAGCAGAGTGGAGAGTGTATGCTAGTGTGTAAAGGGTGCATGTACAGTATATAGTACATGTACAGTATCTCAAAAAAGTGTCTGTCTACACTGTGTGAAACATGAGACCACAGATGATAGATATTGGGACATACATTAACTTTGAAATATGTATAGTTTAACATAAGTAATGTTGTAATCGCTCATAGGAGCGATTTTGGTTTGTGCAGGACAACAAGACCCTTGTCGTTGACGCGATGAGTATAATTCGGTCAAAACCTGTTGATACAATTCACATATAACAACTGCTGGTACATCAGGACACAGTTTGAATAATACGATCAATATACAGTATATAATTACACTTATTAAAGTTATTTAGAGTTCTCAGAGGATTCAACAGTTCACAATCACACTCTCGTTTTGGGGTCTAGGGTTAGATCAACGAGAACAAATCTAATGTGCTGCTGGTGATATTGGCTGATGAGAATCCAGATGTTGCCTTTACAGTAGAAGGCGATAGACTGTCCCTCAGGCAGTCACACAGCTGCTACCAGCTCCATCTCGCTATCCTGAGTTATAAATAGTTTCTTCACTTAACATGTGGCCGGTGCGCACATTTAACACCTCATCAAAGTTCATTGTCAACACTGTCTCTCCTCTCTCCCTTTCTCTCTCTCCTCTCTCCCTTTCTCTCTCTCTATCCCTCTCTTTCTCTCTCTCTTCTAGTTTATCTTACTGTGGCGGTAACACTCCCCCTGTCAGGCTTTGCACGAAATTACGGCCTACCATTAGATTCACTCTCCGACCCCTTCCAAGAGGCAGAGTCTCATCGCTGGGCGTATTAACACTGAGTCCTTTGTCTTCACTTTATCACTTCGCACCAGGCCATCTGCGCTCGGTAGTGCCTCCAGTACTCTCTCGAGCATCCACTGACTCCTGGGGAAGGGGTTGTCCAGAGATGATCACGATATCCCCAGCGTAGAGATTACGGCGAGTTTTGAATAATCTTTGTCACTGACGTAGTGTCGGGAGATATTCCTTTACCCACCTCTTCCAAAATTGGTCCGCGATGAATTGGGCATGCTTCCATCTTCTGGCAGGTCGGCTTGGCGTTGGTGGGTAGGCCTCCAGTTGCTTCTCCGACAAGTCACACACGTCCGTATTGTGCGGTCGAGTAATTTGCGGCACTTGGGTATCCATTATGACCCACGTATTATGGCAAGAGTGTGTTCTCGTCCTGAGTGTCCAGCTTTAGTCAAGTGCACCTCTCTCACAATGAGCCCCATGATCCTGTTGTCCCTCGGCAACAGTATGGGATTCTTCTGGTCTGGGTGGAGAGCGGCATGTTTCAGTCGGCCGCCTGCTCTGATAAAACCATGCGTGTCTATATGAGGTTCTGGTCGACTCGCATCATTACCTCTCACGGGTTGTCCCTGTTGTAACATTCCAAGTTCTCGAGGGAATCCTTTCCTTTACATCAATCTTAAGACGACTAACTTCGCATCTTCCAATTTGCTGACCTTGAGTCGATGTTTCGGTGATGTTTGTTCTTTTGCTTCCCCAGCCGCCATTCTATAAACCTTCTAATCCACACTACGCTATTCAGAAGTTGATGCCACGAAGAGTACCTGGCCCATAGCTTATCGAGGATACTCTCCCCCTGGTCAGCGTTCGTCGTCAGCACCGTGGTTTCCTTCTTCACATCTGGGTCTCCGTCTGTGAGGTCTGGAATCCTCATTGGACTCTTTGGCCAACTGTCTTCTTCCAACAAGAGGAAAGCAGGTCTTCGAATCCACCTGCCCTCCTTGTTGAGCTCTGTTCCATGTAGTCCACGACTAGCGTCATCGGCTGTGTTCAGTGCCGACTTCATGTGGCACCATTCTGCATTGGAGTCCTCGTGTATCATTGCCACTCGATTGGCCACGGAGGAATGGAAGCGTCCTTCGGTGTTTCGTATGTACTGAAGGACTGCCGTACTGTCTGTCCAGAACACTGATCTGTCTATTTGTAATTCAAGTTCTCGTCGTAGTTGTTTGTGTGCCTTGGCAGCCAGTACTGCCGCGCAGAGCTCGAGTCAAGGTATGGTCTGCTGTTTCAGAGGGGTTAGCTTGGCCTTGCCACACACGAAGGAGATGTGGTGGGTTCCATCTTCACACGTGGTCCTCAGATACAATACAGCTCCATACTCTTGTTGGGAGGCGTCGTAGAAGTGGTGTAGTTGCACGGCAGCCACTGGATTTGCATCCTCAGGTGGGTAGCACCTTGGAACGTGTACCTGTGATCGGTGAGGAAGTTCATCTAGCCATCTTCACCAAGCCACCCTGTTCTGTTCAGCCATTTGTTCATCCCACCCAACACCTCGTCTACACTCATCTTGGAATTTAATTTTGGCTCTTGTGACGCTCAGAGCGATGAGTCCCAGTGGGTCATATATGGAGCTGACCATACTCAGAAGACTTCGTTTCATCTCTGGTTTCTTAGGGATCTGGACCCGGACCGCTAGTTCGTCCTTTTCCAGGTCCCACAAGATTCCCAGCTTTCGTTCAGTGGGGAGCCTGTCGTCTTTCAAAATAACTTCATTTACTCCCACGGATTTCTCTGTCTTTGGAATTGTGGGTAATTATCGTTGCCTTCCCCGGCGAATCTACTGAGAGAAGCAGATCGTCAACTTAGAAGTTACGATTCACTTTCTTGATGTTGTCATCGAGACTTTCCCTGTAATCTTGGAATATTCGTTGTAGCGCCTACCCGGCACATGAAGGGCTACACATACCTCCAAAGAGATGTACTGTCATTCGGTAATTGGTGGGGCCCCTGGCAGCTGGTCGTCCGTTCACCATAAGAATCGTAAGACGTCTCGATGTTCGGGTACTACTCGCACATAGTGGAACATTGCCTCGATATCAGCCATGAGTGCCACCTATCCTTGTCTGAATCTGATGAGGACTTCCATCAAATTGTTGTTAAGGTCTGGCCCTTGCTTCACCTGGCTGTTCAATGACATCAACTCATATTCGGCTGCACAATCAAAAAACTATTCTCACCTTTTCTGGCTTCCATTATTGGAAGTGCGACTCTGCTGGACTCTTGTAATCACAACTCGTAACCGTTGGGTTCTTCACACCGATCATCAATTCCGTTGTTGGTTATGGTTTCCCTGACCCATCTATGCGGATTTCTTCTATTCGTGGCACCAGCACCCTTTGTGTACTCCCAATCCTTTTCTCCATGGTGCTTGTACCGGCTTCGGTCTTCCATGATTTAGCTCCACTGGTTGCCGATTCTGGTGGCGGCAAAAAGGCCTTAAGTTGACTCATTCTAGGTCGCTTGTGGTCAGGTGATATGTCTATTTGGTAAGTGCCCCCAGTGATTCCTCTCACCCTTTGGAAATTGGTCTGGTGTTCTCCTCTTTTAACTTCGCCCCATTGCGCCTTTCCACTGCTCATCAGAACTCCTGTGAAGTGCAGAAGCCTTGAGTGTACTCCAGAGCAGCCATCTATACCACATACCATCTTCTGGCTGCACTCTGTTATCCGGTGATTAAGACCCCAGGCAGGCGAAGCAGCGATGTTCTTCCCTTACGAGGGAAGTTCGCTTCCCTGTGGACATGCTGAGGATTGTCCGGCACATCTGAAGAAGGTGATCTGCGCGGCATAGCGAGCAGCGTTCATCGTCCGTTTCTCTGGTTGTCTTTTTTCCTGATGTCACCAGACCCACAAGTTTCTTCCTCGACGAGGATTGGCGTGAGGGTGAGTCTGCATATATTCAGCTTGGTTCCTCCGGTCCTTGTCCCTTTGGGGCCTCCTCCGCCTTGTCGACCATATCCATAGTGAATTTCAACATCCACTCGATCCCAGGAGGCTTCCCTTGCTTCCTTTTGTATTTATGCACCTTATCCATATAGTCGTCCCTTATCTTTCCCTTGAATCTCTTAGCTAATGTATGTATTGATTCATACTTGTCAATCTGATGTAGTTCTCCCAGAACCTTCAAGTTCCTCATGAAATTCTCCAGTTCGTCTGAGAACTGTTGGGGGCCTTTCGCGTCATTTAGTCTCACAGTTGGACCTTATTAGCTGACAGACGTAAGTGTGCTTGTTGCCATGACGTTTCTCTAATATGTCCAAAGCTTCCAAGTACCATGCTTTGGGATCTTGTATTTGCAGGCATCCTCGCAAAGCGTCCTTAGCGGAGCTGGCGTAGGCGACGAAAAGTGTCTCTAATTTCAAAGCATCAAGTATTCGCAGCATCCCAACCTGTCGCTGGAAGGGTCCCTTGAACTCTCAGTAATCACCACAAGTTCCTCCGCTGAACTTCGGAGTCTGCCTTTGGGAGAACCTCATAATTTCTAACAGTTTTCTCACCCAGCCCTCGGACCTTGGCTGGTCGTCCTTTTGGTCCTTCATCAACGTTAGTGGTTTCGGTGAGCGAGCTTGATGTTCGGAAGTACTTCCGCGCTCAACAAAATATTGTATATTTCCATTCAAGTATTTATTCAAGTCAATTAGGAGGGAATATTATTGTAATACAACAGTTTTTTAACTGAAAACCATTCGAAAAGCGGTTACGGTAACATCTTTTGAACGAAAGAAAGCGAAAGTCATTGCTTTTGTCACGATTTTATCCCACTTTCCACTGTAATACGTACGTCATTAAAGCCAAAATATTACATTTCCATATTCTCAGAAATAAATAGTAGTTTTGCTGAAATGTAATGTATTTCAATGTAAATTAGGATAAACTACATGAAAACAAAAGACTGTACCTAACCTTCCGATGTTCAAGATATGTTACTCGTTTTTTTAATAGTTTCCGGTTAAAATACTTTTATATTTGTGATATTCTATTCATACTGTGCTTGATATAATATATATATATATATATATATATATATATATATATATATATATATATATATATATATATATATATATATATATATATATATATATATATATATATATATATATATATATATATATATATATATATATATATATATATATATATATATATATATATATATATATTTATTCTGGACCTAAGCTAGCGGAGCCTTATATGCAATGTCACCTCCCTCTCCACCTTTTACTCGGGTAATCAAAGCTAGACGTCTGTTCTGGATTGAACAAAAACGTTTTTATTTTTCTAAAAAACAGTTTTTGTGATATAGTCCAGAATCACGACATCTCCACCCCTCGAAAGTTGATATTTGCTTACAGCTCGCTCTAGGGCAAGAGATGACGGTAGCAATCTGAGTGATGAAGGGTGCGGGAGGGGGTTTGAGAATTTCAATTAAATGCCAGGTAGCGATGTGTCCTCCTAATATTACGTATTAAGTATTTATTAGATGTTTTAATTGCCTGTATGTTCGCCTGGCGAGTTATTGCTAGGCATTAACATACCTAGGTATAAGCTAGACGTCGCATTCTGGACTACAGTATATCACAAAACTGTTTTTATAAAAAATGGCTGTTTTGAATGGTTTTAGAACAGTAGAAATTCCAGCATAAAGAAACTTTTGGTACTATATACGATTACTTGGTTAAATGAACTTAATGTTTATCGTTGTTGACTTGTATGATGTTTTTAATGAGATACTGTGCTGTAATATCAGTTTATTTCTCATACTCAAACTATATGGTGTTACAGTTAAACTCATACAATCATTTTGTTGGGAATTCAAGGTTTTAAAAGTCATGGCATGACTCCATCTATTGGTTGATGCACATTACAAAATTATGGTGAATCACTTAAGAAAGGAATTCAAAATCAAATTCAGATTTGATATGCAATAATCATATCTATCAGAGTGGCAGATTTTAGTAATCAGTATTTTTTTACTTATTTTCTGAGCTTTGTCCCCTATTCAACATAATTTTTTTACAGAATTTAGTATTAGATATCTGGAAAAAGAGTGTTCATGCTTTCTTGAATAGGATCCAGCAGTGTGTCCCAATTTCATTTGAAGGGGTGATATTCAATCTCATTTTGGCTTCTACATAGTTCTTATTGCCATTCAGGTGAAAATGCAACTCCTCTACTAAAATTGTACTTAACCCTTTAGGTGCGTAATTAAATTTCGCGCCAGTACCTGAAAAGTGTCAATTATCCTGCCAAAAATGAATTTCATATAATCACATTTTCTATATGTTTTTCCTAGAGAACTTTTAGTATATTTTCCAAATCTGGAACAAAAATTCACATATGTGTGCAAATTTTAGAGAAAAAATGACATTTATACCCCAAAATGCAGGAAATTGGTATAAATCAATGTCTGGTATATGGCAAATAAATTTAATCAATTTGGTTACTAAACAGCAAATTTAGATATGTATTACATATTCAGATAATATCAAACAAAATAGTACAAAAATAAGCTATATTGCATTCAGGAAATATTCCTATACCTCTATACATAATATGTCCGCATGTCGTCTCATTTGGGGAAGTTTTTTCAAGGCCGTGGGATATCCCCGCTTGTCGCATTTAATTAATATAATATTTTGGGCGGGTTTACCCGCATGCCGCATCCAAAGGGTTAATGATATTGACAATGATATTGTATGCACTTTAGGGATACAGTACTGTAATGAGTAATTATCTCTTTGAAATATTTCAGAATTCTCAGAGTGTGAGAAAGATTGTCAGTGCATTAAATGTGAGGAAAAAGCAGAGAAGGTACTACCAGAAACAGCTAAGCCACCTTACCAAGTCCGTCGCACATGTTAGTGGATTATTCTTTAATGTCTACATAATACCATCATAAAATGTTTTTATCCTCTGCTAGATGAATACCTTCCATCATATTTATCCTTCTTTATTTTTTATTATTATTATTATTATTATTATTATTATTATTATTATTATTATTATTATTATTATTATTATTATATGCTTCCTTGTCCATTAAACACCTAATTTCTAATATTCATCTGGTAGTACAGGTCTGTTTATACATTATAATTTTATATACAAAACCTAAGAGGTCCTCCCAACAGTGTCAAGATAACCCTCAATAACAATCACTCATATTGAGCTCTTCTTTCTTATCTTCTAAGTGTCCCCATTGTCCTTACATTTTTGCTTATGCTCATACACCTGAAAATCAGAATATAAAATGCTTTGGACAAAGGTTTTGGAAAGTACATACAGTAGACTCGCAATTTACACGTATTTTCTTACGTGGTTTCAACTATACGCGAAAAACCCCGGGGGGGTTGGGTTACAATTTCAAACTCAAAATTTAAAAAAAAAATGCTGTATGTCTAGTGCGAACTATAGCATGTTTATATTCAAATTAATAACAATCTTATAAGAATCCCAGCAATGTAAATTATATTCTCCCAGATCAGTTCAGTGGCATTTTATAATAAAAAAACAAAAACTCACTCTAAAGGACATAAATAAATAAATAAATAAATAAATAGATAAATAAATAAATAAATAAATAAATAAATAAATACTTCACTAGACCTCCCGGTGCCAGCTGTCAAACACATCACCTAACCCCCCCCACCCCACCATCTTCCCAGCCAGGGTTTGGTGGTTTTAGGCTTAAAGTTTTTATCTTATAAAATATCACAGACTAAAGTTAGGAGAATATAATGTGCATTGCTAGAATCCTTGCAAGACAGCGAATAATTTGAATACAGGTACTCCTCTACTTAAGAACGTTCAACTTACAAACTTTCAAAGATACAAACATCATCACTGAGGGGGGTTACTTGCCAGAACAGTTGTTTAATGTGGATGAGACTGGAGTATTTTGAAGAAAGTTCCAGATGGAACAAACATTACCTAAGAGGAGAAGAGTGAGCCAGGTTTTATGGCTATATTAAAGGGTATAACTGTACAGTAGTACCCCGATTTACGGTCAATTGAACCCACAGGGTACCGCGGAAAGTGAAAACCGAGTAAAGTGAACAACAGAACATATGGGATTAATTCCAATAGAGACTGGCCCGACCCCCAAACTCCACTTTTTCCGACACAATACCTATGTTGTAGTAAAAATAACATCTTAATTTTATGATGGTATGCACACACAATTAATATTTAAGAGAAATACAGTCACCAGATTAATGTCCATTCAAATAATGGACTCAACTCCCCTTCCCTCCCAGCTCACTGGCTCCTACCTCTCTGAGAAATGTTTGGGTGAAAACACTAGAGTTTAACGTATAGTAATAAATAATACCTCAGACTAAAGTTAGGATAATATAATTGACATTTCTGGATTCCTTGCAGGTCAGGGAATATTTTGAATGTAAATTTCATATATTTTTCACAAACGATAAAATATTTGCTTTGTGTAAACCAAATTATTACATTAGATCTAAAATTTGTATGTCTAATGCAAAATCCATGATGTTTATATTCAAAATGATCATCATATTGTAAGAATTCCAGCAATGTAAATTATATTCTGGCCGGGTAATTTGTATGAATTTTATGAGCTAAATAAAAAATTATACTTCACCCGTGTATATGAGTAGATGCACTGCGGAAAGTGAAAGTCCGGTTCTGTCGAGGTACCGCGTAAATGAGAAATCCGCGGAAAGTGAAACCGCGTAAAGAGGGGTAATACTGTACTAAATGTCCATAATCTTTTCATTTTTTACAATATTTTTGGTATCTACAAGAGTAAAGTTGGACTTACAAACAAACCTCAGGAACGCAACTCGTTCGTAAGTAGAGAAGCACCTGTATAGACATTTATATATTTTGCACAAGAGATAAAAATTAATCACCTGTATCACATTACAGTGGTGATTTATGAGTTCTAGTATGTATATATATATATCTCATGTAGATCCACAATGAAAACGTGGATAAGATAAATCTTGATAAAATCACACGGGAAAAGGGAAACAACGGATCACCTTAGCTTTCGTCTTTATTCAAGACATCTTCAGAGGCAACTGGATTACATGGACAGAGAGAGGCTTAAATACACAGGGTGACCTTAAAAACATGAGGTCAGGTCATAATGATGTCATCCACTAATCCCCACACCAACACACACGTAGAGGAGCTTAAGAGAAGGGGGGTGACGTGACTAGTCAGGTCAGGTCAAAAATAAGGGACCCACTAAATAGCTATCATAAATCTAGATCAAAGGTTTTCAAAGCATTTTTAACCTTGGGCCACTGACAAATAAATTTATGTAGCATATTATCAGTTTTGAACTGACCATCACTAAGGTTTATTGATTTTAATTCCTTTAATCAAACTAGCTTCAACCAGAAGTCTTTCTGTGACACAAGATGATTTAAATACTTCTAAGCTTTTTTCCCAACCAATGGGATGATTATTATTCCTAATATGAACGAACAAGGCACTGCTTTCAGATGCTGTTCTGATATTGTACTTATGTTGTTTGATTCTGAGCTGCAGTGTTTTTCCTGTCTGTCCTACGTAATTACAATTACATTTGCTACATGGAATACAATAAACACTTCCATTTACTTTCAAACTTGGGCTATTTCTTATTAGCATATTGGTAATGGTTGAGTCATACTTGAAAACAACATTAATATTTAGTAGCTTGAGGGACCGAACTAACGGGACAAATTCATTACGATAGGGCAGAGCCAAAATATTCTTAAGTGTAAGAATTTGGCTGGTTTGAGAGGAATGAATGGATTTTTTAGCCCTTTTAAAACAACGATCAACAAACACAGAAGGGTACCCGAGTTTTTGTGCAATGGAACGAATGTGTTTCAATTCATCGTCAATAAATTCAGTCACAAATAAATGGATCCCTTCCATTCCTTGATATGCTTATCATGAGAAATGGCCAAAACTACAAATTTAAGGTATACAGAAAGCCCACACAGGTAGACAGTTTCATTCCCTTTTTATCAAATCACCTGGAGTCTACCAAAATGTCAGTTTTTTCTGCTATGTTCTTAAGATGTCTGCATATATATATAGATATATATATATATATATATATATATATATATATATATATATATATATATATATATATATATATATATATATATATATATATATATATATATATATATATATATATATATATCTATATCTATATCTATATCTATATCTATATCTATATCTATATCTATATATATATATATATATATATATATATATCTATATATCTATATATCTATATCTATATCTATATCTATATCTATATCTATATCTATATCTATATCTATATCTATATCTATATCTATATATATATATATATATATATATATATATATATATATATATATATATATATACACACACACACACACACACAGTCGGCCCTTAACATTCGCGGGGGTTAGGTAACAGAGATACCCGTGAATGTTAAAAATCCGTGTACTATTGCTGCCCCCCACCCCCCTAAAAAATCCCTGGCCCCCCCATGTCCTTATTTACCGTATATACCTGTGTGTAGTTCGAGTTTTTAAGACCAAATTATTTGGCAAAAATTGGGGGTCGACCTCTAAACGGGTAATAGTTTCGTTAGGTTGAAAAATATTTACCAGTAACTACCAGTAAACAATGGAAACGATGCACCAACACACCACCAGCTGTGAGTGTCGGTACAGTTGCCAGGGCAGATCTCTTGCGAGCCCAAAGTAGCCAAATCCATGGTATGGTAGCACAGGACGATGTAAAACAAAGTATTCATTTATTAAAGTTAATTTATAGATACTGGACATAAATTTTTGTTCATTACATTTGAAACATCAATCTTTGTTAATTAAATTTGAAACAAGAGAAAACTACGATACTGGATTTTCATTAAAATATTACATCACAAGTATATTTTACCTTAACTGTGACTGAATGAATATATTCTCGGAAATAAATATGGAAATGTAATATTTTTGTTGGAATGACGTACATATTATAGTGGGAAGTGGGTATAAAATCATGACGAAAGACTTTCGCTTTCTTTCGTTGTTCAAAATATTTTACCGTAATCGCTTTTCGAATGGTTTTCAGTTAAAAAACTGTTGTACTCGTACTGTATTACAATAATATTCTATCCTATCATTAGCCTTATAATCCCACAACTGAAAACCATTCGAAAAGCGATTACGGTAACATCTTTTGAACGAAAGAAAGCGAAAGTCATTGCTTTCGTCACTTTCCACTGTAATACGTACATCATTTCAGCAAAAATATTACATTTCCATGTTCTCAGAAATAAATGGTAGTTTTGTTGAAATGTAATGTACAGTATTTAACATTAAAATGCAAAATTAGCTATAAAAACAATTAATACACCCATAATGTACTGGCTGGCATCTCCACTCGTCCCTGCTCCCGCCAGTCACCTCCTCCCTGCTCTATCCCTCCGCCTCCTCCACATCGTCACTACTGTTGTATTACAATAATATTCTATCCTAATTAACTTGAATAAATACTGTGATACCATATTTCTGAATATTTTCATTAAAATCCATCCAAATCATTTTCCTTGCCATCGTCTGCAGCACCAAACAGCTTCTCCCAGTCCTCTCCTTGAACAGGGCTAGAGGGTACGTGTTTTTCGAATCGTTTTCAATTAAAAAAATGTTACATCACATGTATATTTTACCTAAACTGCGCCTGAATGAATATATTCTTGGAAATAAATAGTAATTTTGCTGAAACGTGATGTATTTCAATGTAAAATAGGATAAAATACATGACGAAAACAAAAGACTTCACCTAACCTTCCAATGTTCAAGAGATGTTACTCATTTTTTTAATAGTTTTCGGTTAAAATACTGTTATATTACAATGATATTATATTCATACTGTGCTTGATATACTACATTCACAGAAATGAAATATTTTTGCTGAAATGACGTAAGTATTACAGTGGAATGTGGGACAAAATCGTGACGAAAACAATGACTTTCGCTTTCTTTCGTTCAAAAGATGTTACCGTAATCGCTTTTCGAATGGTTTTCAGTTAAAAAACTGTTGCATCACAAGTGAATTAGGATAGAATATTATTGTAATACAACAGTTTTTTAACTGAAAACCATTCGAAAAACGATTACGGTAACATCTTTTGAGCGAAAGAAAACGAGTTATTGCTTTCGTCACTTTCCACTGTAATACGTACGTCATTTCAGCAAAATATTACATTTCCATATTCTCAGAAATAAATAGTACTTTTGCTGAAACGTGATGTATTTCAATGTAAATTAGGATAAAATACATGACGAAAACAAGAGACTTTACCTATCCTTCCGATGTTCAAGAGATGTTACTCGTGTTTTTAGTAGTTTTCGGTTAAAATACTCTTATATTAGTGATATTCTATTCATACTGTGCTTGATATAATACATTCACGGAAATGTAATATTTTTGCAACTACAATGCTGATGTCAACACAAGTGTGGTTACAGCGAGACTGACTGACTGAGTGAGGGAGAGCTATGCGTGTGTGTTTGAGGTTGCGGGAGCGGGCGGTGTCCCGTGTTCGGTGCCGTGCGCGAGTTGAATGGCGCGCGATTTGAATGTACTTCAATTACTTCAATGTACAGAATATTCCTCTGGCGGGGCAATCCACGTATTTGCGAATCCGTGAATGCTAAACCCGCGTATGTGAAGGGCCGACTGTATACCATTAGCCCAATAAAGCACACGGACTTATACATACAATCAACACCTCACCTCGCCAGGATTCGTACCCTCGGCCCATGAGCCCATGACTGTGACCGGGGAACGGTACCTCTGGCCCACCAGGATACTAAAAGCAGTCCTAGACTCTGTTATATTTCACACAAAGCCTGTTCAATGAGCTTATGGCTCCGTGAACCTCTAATGGGGACTACCCGTATCACTTAGGTGGTCAGAGTAACGTTTTACCAAATCCGGCTTCGAAACACGAGGATCCATATATATTTCATTAGCCCAATAAAGCACGCGGACTTCTACATACAATCAACACCTCAACCCTGTGAATTTTTGTTCCCTATCCCTAATTTATTGTTCATAATTAACAAATTCTGTGTGGGCACATTTTTGTAACCCAATTTTTTGTAAAATGGGGAATGACTGTACAGTTTCTATCTCAGCTTTGTACTTACCTTATTTACCTTCTTGATTCCAGAGCTTGGGCTGGTATTCTGTTCCATAGGTCTACCAGCCTCTGTGTGAAAAGTATTTCCTGCATGATAACTCACATTAACCTCGGTCTGCAAGGTGTTAGGATTTTATTCTTTACCTTTGTATGTGTGTTTTCATGGATATTCATTCCATGAAAACACACATACAAAGGTTAAAGAATAAAATCTTAACACCTTAATTCATGTCTTAAGAAAGATTTTTTATTAATCTGTATTAACTAAATTAAATTCCTTTTCATCACACAGACTCAGGACCCATCAAGAGAAAAATTGTGAAAACTAAGGATGGTGGCAAGAGAACATTCATGATTTTAAACAAAGCTTCTCTAAAAGTCCTGCAGGCAAAGGGACTCATTCAACCACTGAAGAATTGTGAGTAAAAGTGCCATATAGCACAATACAGTATTAATAAAATGCCTTGTTCATGTCTGAGGGTGTGGTCAGGATGGGTTATCAGGCAGTGTTGCCATTCCTACAGATTTGTCTGCAGGTTTATTAATTTCTTATTTTGATTCCGATAAATTTTCTGAATAGGAATAAATATAATAGTTATAAGGTACAAAACTTACTTATGACTGAGGTTGTATTTGGAGGAATAGACATATAAAGGTTTTTGACAAAATTTAACGGCATCACTGAGGATGCGAGTAGGCGCCACATGCCAACAGCCACTAATATGCTAGTGCTGGCATGGAAAGGCTCCTCTCACTCACCTCCTGAGTTGGCATGTTAATAACATACCTCGTGTAAATGCATCCTTAAGATGGGAGGGAACCTCAACGTAACACCCCACAACAGTGTAAAAATACACTTGATTACATAACCAAATAAATATTATTTTCTTTATCATTATTTGACACTGAAACTTTCACTGAATATATATATTTCTCTTTTTCAGTTGCTGACAGCCAGCCACCTGTTAGTGAATCTCTTCTACCTTTGGTGCAATCTTTGAAAAATAAAACAAAAATTCAGTATAATCCTACTCCATCTTTTGATAATACAACAACAACAACCAAAAATTCTGGTTCTCCAGTTAAAGTACCACTTCAGTCTTTGAGTCAAAAGTTGTCATCATCAAATAAAGCCAAAGAATCAATCCCTTCACCACAGGCTTCAAGTCAGACTCCTGTTGTGGTAACATGGTCTGCCACAAATGGAACAGATACCCCATCATTTACTTTTACAATTCAGCTTCCACCTGGCTCAAACCAACGTCCTGATGCATCTTCAACTCCTTTTCAGATTGTTACTCCACCAGTGTTCATTGGAGGTTCACAAACTGAGTCTCTGGCTCATACACAAGTAAATAATTCTACTAATGCAAACAGTGAAACTCAGAAATCCGATCTCAAAGTGTAATGGAAACCATTAATGATTTGGAAGGTTCAAATGACAGTATATCCTCTGGTCTTTCAAGTTCACAAATTATTTCATTTGATGAAACAACAGCAAACAAAAAACCTGAGACAAAGTCAACTCCAATTGGATTTGCTTCTGGTCCTTGTATATTAAGAAAAGGTGGAGTGAAAATGTATCGATATGTAAATATGCCTGATGCAAGTGCCAGTACAGGAAGTGGTCAAACCAGCAAGTTAGGACCTAAAAGTACACAGACAGTGCGATGGGTTGCTCTTCCCACTGTGCCCATAAGCAGTGGTCAGTCTTTAACGTCAGACACACTCAAGCATGTTATTAATTCATCATTACAGAAAAATTCTCAACTTTCAAACCAAGGAGCAGGGAAGACATCATCATCTAGTGATCCTCTGTCACCAGATTTAACTGCCAGTATATATAAGGCTTTTCCCATTACACCAGCAGAACAGAAAGGTAAGTACAGAGTAATTCTTACTATGGTATTATAGGGAAGAATGTACAGTTGTTCACATGTTTGGAAAGGCCACCAAGGGGTGTAACACTATTCTTGTGGGCAACTGTACTTCAGGTTTAAGATCTGTTAATAGGCAGCTGTCAAACAGGGAAGCACTACCGCCTGGGAAGATACTGTAAGCATAATATATTCTAATGGTAGACCCTGCTGCCATATGGCCTCATGAAAATTGTTACCAAGTCCCAGGTTACTGATCTTCCTTTCTGCCTCATTTACACACAATTGCAGGGTCTCAATTGTTTCTCTTACTTGGACTACACAACATACACGTATCATTTCTCAGTCTTGATTTTTTTAAATTTTTGTATTTATTTATTTATTATTATTATTATTATTATTATTATTATTATTATTATTATTATTATTATTACTGTATTATTATTATTATTATTATTATTATTTTTGTTATTGTTACTGTATTAATATTATTATTTTTATTGTTATTATTATTATTATTATTATTACTGTACAGTAAAACCTTGATAAATCGGACTAATTGGGGCAGACCCCAGTCCGAAAACTGTGAATATATGGGGACTTGTCTGAACTGTTTAAAAAATCAGTTGATGTTATGTTATTATGTACTGCACTTCAACAACAAGTTTATTAAAAGAATATTACATCAACAGTAAAAAAAATATGAAACAGAACTTTTTGGGTTAAAAATCAGACATACAAGTCTGGTTGTCAACAACTGTTGTCACCGAGGTGATTGTTATTTACTGTAAAGTGTTATATGTAAGTAACCACAGAATATGTCTTAAGAATAAAGAGAAAACTGTATACTGTACAGTATTACAGTATTATAAAGATAAAAATAAGAACAAATAAGTGTAGGAGCATATTGTATGTGGAATACAAGTGTTTATCTGGGGAGCAGCTGGGCGGGGGAGGGGGGGATAGCATGGGTGGGTTCCTCTAACATTTGTTTATACAATTTCACCACAATTCTCATGTAATTTAGGATCATTTGGTGCCAGGTTGATAAAATATTATCCAAAAAGAATCAGCTTTCCTGAAAAAAGAATCCCACACTGAACACCACAAGTCATTTCTTTACAAAGAGCAAACAGCTAATTGGCTTACCACAATGTCTGTCTTCAATACTTAGTAAATTAGTACAGTACAGTCGAGTATTTATCATCACTTAATAAGTACAGTTATCCCTTGGTTATCGCGATTTTCGTTATCACACCTAAATCAAACTCTGCACACCTGCTGTGTTATAGCGCATTTTTCAAGCCGAGAATTTAGTTATCACGCAGTTGCCTCCAGGTGTATTGTTACCCCCTTGCTTCACCTACATCTATTGAGGATAAAATCTTTCACCTACAAATTGACAATAACACATTTGCTGTAATCTAAGTTGCCTTAACAATTGCAACCCCAGTTGCAATTTCAAATTCTGTGTCATTACTAAGGAATAACGAAGCCTCGGGTGCACTCTAAGATGAGAAAACGGACTTCTCAGACAGGGGACTCAAATAAAGAAAGCATAGCTACATGTTTTGTGGACTACAGTACACCTTTTCACATATCCGTTGAGACATTGTTACATAACTATTTGACAAATTTCATAACCGAATGACAGAACACATATCGAATGACAATCTAAAATAACTATTCTTTCATGCTAACGGAAGTGATTGACATAAGTTATGAAGTTTTCAGACTTGAATAATAAACCGACAGTCTACATATAGTTTGAGAATGTAACAATTGGAGAATGACATACCACCAACAGTTATTGTAGATTGTCATTTGATATGTGTTCTGTCATTCGGTTATGAAATTTGTCAAATAGTTATGTAACAATGTCTCAACGGATATGTGAAAAGAAGTATTGAGCGTACCCTTTTCATCACTTTGTAATAAACCTAGCCATGCCTATGTGTGTTTCTGATAATTACCATAACATTATATATATATATTTAGTGGGTCTAAATGGTCGTAAAATGGGAAAATTGGGGTTGGGTCTTGGGTGCCTGGAACCAATTAGAATAAATCCCGTAGGTTCTGTACTTTCGTTAGCGCGTTTTTCATTGTCACGCACTCAGCGCAGTCCCAATTAAGCGTGATAACCAAAGGATGACTGTAATATGCTTCTGCTTATACCCTGGGTTATTCATTAATTATTTGTCTATGTGTACATGTAGCCAAATTTAGCCATCATATAACACTCAAAGGAAGTAAGTAACGTTTTTAGAAAGTTATCTTCATATAATTTATTTTTTTTATTTTTTTATTTTTTTTTTTACCCTTTGGCCCCGGATGACGTTCCAGAACGTCCGCCTATTCCCCTTTTTAGTGCTTTGGAAAAGTTTATTTTTCTCTATTTAACCCTGCAGGTTACTGCCAGCAGCACCCTAACCCGGGGCTTAAGGGTTAACGGGGAGATTTTTATTTTATTTTTTAGATTGCCCCCGAGGGGGCTAGTTTATTGGGCATCCCCTTACATCCTGTGCAAGGTGGAACGCAGAAGCGTTTACAGCACCCATCTGGGAAGTATGCGGAGTTCATGCTTGCCTTTATGACTCATGCATTAAGGGCGTAAAAGCCTGAAGGGTCATGGGCTTTGTCAGCAAGTTACATAAAGTGACAGAATGATGAGTGTGTGGGGGAAAATTCCCGGTACACTGTATCTGTTTATGGCAAAGTGTGGCAGGTTCCTAATAATGTCACATGCCAGGCCTGTCACTAGGAGGAGGGATATCTGGTCAGGGACCTGTAGGAGGAGGTCATAGGGTAAGTGAGGATGTAGTGAGAGAGGGGGGTGAGAGTCGGGTTGACCACAAAGTTTACAAACGGTGCGGCCAGGCTCAGGGTTCCCAATGGCGAAGTATAGTGGAGGTGGAGGTGATATGGTGTGGTGGGACAGGTACAGTAGGGGTGGAGGGAGGCACATGGGCATTGACAATATTGACGGACATACCCTTTAGTGTGATTGTGATGGCGTGTGCGTCGACATGCCAGTGGGGTACGGGTTGCCGGGGGTGGTGTCCTCAGGTCCAGTAGGTAGCCCTGGTGGAGACAGCACAGACACAGTAGCGGGTGCGGCTTGCGGTGGGTGGACAAGTTGAGGCACCACGTGTCGTGAAGATGAGGCAGGACTCCGCTCGGGGGCAGCAGGACATACCAGGGCAGGCCCGGTAGGTGCCACACCAGCAGTGAAGACCACCGGTGGTGGAGTAGGCCGTGAGCAGGGGGGGCTCACAGAAGAGATGAGTGACTGTGTGGCAACAGAAGGCAAGAGTAGGTTGGAGATGGTGGTACAGAGTGTAACGAAGAGTCCCCCAACACGGTTGGTAAATTCTTGTAAGAGGGATATGATCTGTGTCGTGTCACCGGAGGAAGTAGTGCGGGGGCACTGGTGGAGTTCAAAGTCTGACAGCGTCAGAGCAGAGACGGGGAGGAGGCCCAGTAGTAGTTGAGTTAGGAGACGGCTGGGACTGATCTGTTGCAGCCAGGTGAGGCCAGGCAGGGGCAGGTGTTGCTGGAGACAGAGGGGATGCAGAGGGAGGCGGCCCGGTAGACTGGGGGGGTGGGGGGGACGCTGTGGCAAACGTGGCTCTCGGAGAGGCCTCTCCCCTGGGACAGATGGGCGATTGGGGCATCGCCGCGAGTCAGCATTGTACCTGCCGCCACAGTCACAACATCTGGGATCAACTACATTGTCCACACCACCCCTATTAAGGTGGTCTTTGATTCTCTGGGCACAGGCGGCGGAGTTATGGTTACGTGAACAGAAGTGACATCTGGGACGACCACATCGGCAGTGAAGGTGTGATTCCAATGAGAACAGATAACACAAATAGCTGGCCTGGGGTGATAGGGTTCTGCATAAAGTGGAGGAAGGACTGAGTGGGCCTCCACAGTAGTTGGACATTCCCTTCCCTTCCATTCGACAATGACAGCAGCTTGTGGTGTGTTCCCCCGGCAATGTTGATGTACACTGAGTATACTAGAATTAAAGTCACACGCATCCTCGACGTCAGCGCATTGGAGGAACTGCTCCACTAGGACGTGGCAACATTCATCAGCGCCTAGGGGGTGGGGGTGGGGGGTCACCAGGACAACTCTGTCCGAAAGTTGACAAAGTTGCGGCTCTCACCCTGGCGGAATTGAATGTCGAGACCGTGCTGTCCGCAGCACTTCATCATCCAACTAAACCGCCCCCCTACGGCCCTCAGTGAGTCCCTGGGGAAGCGCAGACTCGGTCCACCTGGCTGGTTGGCAGAGGGCAGGGTGATCAGGTCCGTGGCATTGGTGTTTCCACTCCGGCTAGTATTTCCCATAGAAACCTTACCGTCACTGTCATGATCACTGAGGTCTGACTCTTGAAGGGTGCTGGACTCAGCAAGACCAGGCGAGTTGGCGATGGCATCTGTCGTTTATGTCGACCCCCCATGCTGGCAAAAACTTGCCGGCTGAGGGGACCTTTGTGGGACGATCGAGAAGTCAAGAGCACCTCTGGGCACGTCTGCCCCCTTATGTGGTCACACCACGACTGAGGTTTAACGGGGAATAGCCCATCAGGGCACAGGTCATTGACCCACAGTGGGGCTTTGGGGGGAGGGGGGTGGGGAATAAGAGTAAAAAGAAATTAAAATAGAAAAGAAAAAGATTATATTAATCTATACCACGAAAATGACTGAAAACCAGCTTTTTGAAGTGAGACAGATTGCATGAGTATGGAAACACAGAAGGCAGAACATTCCAAAGTTTGGCTGTGTTAGGAAAGAAGAATGTACTATAATGGGTTATCATTCTAGTGTGACTGACATCCACAGAGAAACGGTGGGCACCGCGAGCATGACGAGAGTTACGAGCCCACGGCCTTGCCGGCAGTACACGGGATGCCAAATCCACCGAATATTGCCCGTTAAAGTACCTGTAAAAGAGAGACGGTGAAGCAACATTGCGGTGAAGAAAAAGGGAA